TATAATATTTTTTAGCTTGCTTATAATTTTTATTCCCCTAAAGCTACTTTATAAACCTAACAGAATTAGAGCTTTATGATATTCGTAAAGCTAGTAATCTAACTACAGGGGTTTTATTATTATTATTTTTTTTATTATTTATTTTTTATTACTGAATATATTAACTTGGAAGTAAACTCTCTTACAATTCTACATTTCAAATATGACTAGAAACTTCCTTATATAACTTTTTTTATTCTCCTTATTTATCTCATATCTATTTATTTGGCAAGATTTTATCCCATATAAATTTACGAAATAGCTTACATTTTTATGACATATTTTCTTTCTTTCATTTTTTTTTTTTTTTTTTTTTTAATATTATTGTTATTATTATTTATTTTTTTATGAAATACTAAGTTTTTTTATCACATAATTTTTTTTTTTATATTATATTATATCTCTTGACGCTATCTTTAAGCATTTTTGTAGTACATTTATTCATCTCATTTATTTACAAAACAATTTTTCGCACGACGGTCATTTTCTGTACGTTCACACATAAAATCTACTACTGCACGTTTGACTCTGCAGATACAAGATTTTTTTTCTTCAATAATAATAATAATAATAACAACAATAACAATGATAATGATAATAATAATAATTATTATTATCATTATTATTGTTATTGTTATTATAATAATAATAATAATTATTATTATTATTATACATTCCCACTTCCTAATTATTGAACACTAAAAAATATCAGTTATTGTTTGTAAAATTTCAAGCCAATTGTCTATTATCGGTATTTCAACATACAATTTTTGTTTTTATAGTTTCACATAATTACACACACATTCTTATTCTTTGATCGTTTATATTTATCGGCAATATAATTTATTCCGAGTGCAGTGCACTAAGTGCACATTAATAATTGATATTACGAGTATATCGAATTTAACAACAACAAAATAATAATGAAGTTATAGTAAAATAGTAATTTTCACGCTTAACGTTTTTATATTAAAAATATTTTTTTTTTAATGGAAGAAACGTAAAAAAAAACTATAATGATTACATCATTTAAAAATAATTGAAAATTTTCCGATGTTCAATAACGATTATTTAAAAAAAAAAATAGACTTTTAGTCCCTTATTCTATACATAAATGCTGCATTTAGGCGTGCGTGCGTGCGTGCGTGCGTGCGTGCGTGCGTGTGTGGGTGTGTGAGTGTATTGTCGTTCTAAAAGACGTAGAACAAACATCAATTTTAAATATAAATATAAAATCAAAGTCATATCAATAACAGAAGAGAACTTTATGTCTAAATTCAATTCAATATAATCGTATTTTAATACTCGCGATACGCTAATAGTTTATGAAATATATTTCACGTACAAAGGCAATAAGAATTTCGTTATATTTAAGAATTTTTATACTGTCGGAAAAGACATTAAAAGAACCCTAGATCGTTATAATAACAACATTTGCAACTAAATATAATACTTGCAGGGGTATAGAAATTAACAGTGTAGAAATCAATTTTTTTTATTTTTAATTAACGAGTTGACATGCTGATTATGAATAATTTAAACATTCAATAATTTCAATATTAAGTAATCCAATATAAACGGGAAGTATATTTTTATTTTATTTATAGATAAATACTAGACAATGAAATGTTGAATAAGGTTATTTCGTATCACGATGAAATATTTATCCAAAATCTGGGATTAATGGATTAATAAGTTAGGAGAATGGATTACCTTGATAAGAAAAGCCTACGACGAGTGTTTCGAATCTATCTTTTAATACTGAATTTGTCATACGTTTAAAGAATTCATTTGCCTCGATAATGAAAGATGAAACATTACATTCACTAAATATTTTGATTAAGAAATACAATGCAAATAAGAATTAATCTAATAAATGAAAATAATAAACATCAGGATCTGCGTAAATTAAAGGAAATTATTCGTTCGTTTCTCACAAGCTATGATATCGCCTGTAGACAGAATTTGCACAAATATGAGCCAAAAGACTGCAAAAAGAATTGTCTTACCCCGCTTTTATGCATTCTACAAATGTGCTAATTTACAAAGATTAACTTCTAAATGTATGCTAGGACAAGTAAATACCAATTCCAAAATCAATATTCGAATTCCTTATTATTTATCCGCGTCTACTATCATCCCGACGTATTGCATTTAAAATCAATTGTACGAGCTCAGCGCTGCAATAATACTAAATTATTAACAGAGGTACACCGAGTGAATTGCTGAGTGTGTGTGGCCATTAACCATAGACCATCATTCATCGGAGTTCCGAAGCCCGATAAAGTCGAATTGGGGGGGGGGGCAAGAAGAGTTGGCGCAAGAAAATAAAAGATATATATCGATCAAAGGTAGTAGGAGATTTGTCGCATATAATGTCGAAATATAGAAACGATCGTGATATCTTAGGAGGTTTGTGCGACTTTGTTGCGAAACCCTATCAATAATAAATTCTTACAATATGCGTAACCAATGAATTAAAACTTTCGACTTATACCAAATCTTTTTTGGTTTTTCTATTTTTTTTTTTTTTTTTTTTTTTTTTTTTTTTTTGTATCATTGAAATGCTTTAAAATAATATGTTTAAGGACTTGGAAGAAAGGCATTCGTATAATTTCACAAATAATTTAAATTGCCTTTAAATACAAAAGAAGGTATATTAAGATGAGGATGAAGGTATTCATATGATCACGTAATCATAAATACGTGATTATGAAAAACGTTAAATTTCCAAGGAAATCAATTCGAAAAAAATAAAAATAAAACAGTTTAATAAGTTTTGCGACATGTATTGAATAAATAAGGCTTCAATATGAATTTTATTGCAATTAGCCATAATTTGTCATTAAGCAACGATAATCTTGGTAATTTTTATTGTCCTCTACGACAGTATTCATTGAACTATTCACGTATCATATTAAAAGTATTTTAAAGCGATAAATGCACGTAGGATATTAAACAAAATACTTTAAATCTTCATTAGCTTATAAAATTATTCTATAAAATACAAAATTTTAATTAATAAAATATATTTTATTTTTACCGCTAAATAATATAACAGGGTCGATATAAAATCAAATATCAAATGAAAAATAAATTTTGCATACTTCGGAGGCATAGTTCGTTTGAAGTTTTTGAAGAAAATTATATTGAAAAATCTGCAACATAACATACGTTTGTAGAGTTCTGCAATAAACACAGAAGAAGAAGAAGAAGAAAAAATCATTAAAATACTTAACTCTATTCTTTTCATTATAAAAAATATTTTAAGAATGATTATTATTTCATTATGGTTTCTCATAAACTGTCTCTGTATTAATAAAATTTTTAATCAAAGGTATTTAAAAGTTTTAGGTAAAAGATTGTATATGCATGAATGAATATAGGATTTTACATTTAAATTATAAAACAGCACTTTTAATGTATTATATTTTAAAATTTTTTGGATTTTTAACCTATAAGTTTCCGCTATCCTTAAAGATTTTGTATTTATAAACAAATTGAAATAAAGTAGAATCGGTATTCTTTTATCCGTAAATTTGACTCTACATCAGGTCTCTTATAGTACTGCAAGTAAATAGGTAAAAAAAAAGAAGCATTAATACTACATAATTCTGAGTTTATAAAATAATACTTTTTATATAAAAAATTATAATTTTTTTCCTCCTCTTTTTTTTTTTTTTTTTTTTTTTTTTTTTTTTTTTTTTTTTTTTTTTTTTTTAAGTTAAAGCGATACAAATAATATATCTTTTCTTATGATATACAAAACAGCCATAATATTTGCATTTTGAGTAATAAATAAAGCATTTAAATATTTTGAAATCAAATACATCATAGTTTTGTACATCTTGAGAGCGTAAAATTTACAAGTTTATGTCATTTAAATATTATGTATATACTATAAACAGGATAAATTTATTGCTTTGATTGACTATTTTACCACTCGATCAGATATAGTATATCACAAAGTTTAAAATATATAATATAAAACTGTTGCCTCGTCAAGACGTACAACAAATATGGATTCTAATATCTCGAATACTTTTGCAAATAAATAAGTAAATACATTGTAAAGAAATATTTCCCTTCGTATTTTTAACATTATTGAAATTATAAAATTCTTGAGAATATAGTATACGAGTACAAAATAGTAAATTCTTTATTAAAATCACGTAAAATCTTACTCGTACGCAAGGTCAAATAAAAATATTAATTTATCATTTTGTCATTCACATCGCGTCTCGCTTTAATAAGAACATAATAATTTTATGCTATTTAAGCAGTACCATTTTCAAAATACAAAATCTAAAACTAATCGATAGCATAGTGTTGGCTATGATTGATAGCTCACTGATGAAAATGACAGAGTGGGAAATGTGAAATTACTTGCAGTACCGTTAATGACCTGTTAATTGAAACGATTTTTACACGATTGTGGGATTCGGGAGAAATTTTACCAGACACAACACATTATCCGCAAAATTAAAAATTATCCAGCAATTACTATGAATACAGCGAGAACGTCGATGTTAACGTTGCATTAGACGGGCGACCATCTATACATAAATCTTTCTGGCTATCGCGATACATCAAAGCTCTCAATTATCGAACGCTAATGAGAGCGATGCAATTTCACTGGACATAAGAACGCCGGGAACTCACCATTCGTACGCATAAATTTTTTTAAAATATCCGGGTGGCCAATCAAAAGCAAGCGAGCTAACGATGAAGCAGCTCGTGTCGAGCCAAGTAAGAAGGAAAACCCTTAGCTTGGTGATGGCCATTCGTGGCGGTGATTTCCCGACATTCGCCAACGACTAGCGTAAGAAAGTGCGAAAGTCCGTCGTGACGGCAACTCGACAATTGTGCACAGGCAATCCCCGTGATCCAGTAACGCTCGCTCGCTCTCTTATCGTCATTACCGTACGATTCTTCGATATAAATGCTCTCTTTCCTGATACTCCTGTCAAGGTTCTCTCAATTGCGATAACTTACTTTCTCGCAGCGATAAATCGACCGAGATGATAAACATTGCTCATTGCTGTTGACTCGCCAGCGACTCGCATCCGAACAGAATGTACTCTTCGCGTGACAGCCAGAATGGATTTCCTTTCATGTATTCTGGTGGCGTTTTGTCTAAATAAAAAGCAGAGACATTGCGTGTTTTAAGAGTTAAAATTAAATGTGACGATCTACTGGAGTGGGGCATTCGATTATTATCGCTGATATTGTTACACGCGTAGATTAATGTCGGAATTAGCTGTCTCCAAGCACTTTTGTCGAGCTAATACAAATGGCATTTAACGTACTTGAATTGACGTAAGGTCAAATTGAATATTGATTTGAAGCATAAATGTTGCAATTGAATAAACAAGAGATTTTTCATGCCTAATGCAATATTTACATTAAGGTTTTTATCATAAAACTGTTGCGAAATTGACAATAATACAGCACGAGGAATATTTCACAAGAACTTTTGAAATTGAAAGTTTGAAGAATTTATCATCGTTATGATGTTGACGAAACTCGTAATTGACAAATTAATCATTGAGACGGATGCATTTTGGAAAATTATATCAAATCAACCTACTCTCGTACTTCTTTTCGTTATCGAGGTGGAGAAAAAAAAAAAAAAAAAAAAAAAAAAAAAAAAAAAAAAAAAATTCTGTATTATTAATTGGTTTGTCATTGATTGTCTTATCAATCAAGTTGTAAAAAACAATTTATTTTAGGACTTAATTAAAATTATAACTCATTATGAAACACGATATGAAATTAACTAAAAACATTTTAAAATAATTACATCATCATCGGTAGATGTATTTTAAGACGATATAAAGATAAATTTTTATTTAGTCTTATCGTCGACTCAAGATTATAATAATATTAAGTATTGATATATCGTTTCCTTATATCCTTACATTTGAATTATTTCTCTATATGAAATGTCCATTGAATTTAAATTAATATTTAATAATATAAGACGAAATTTTACATGATTCATCACTTTACATTTCATTTCATCATTTTTCATCACTTGCGGAAATCATACTTTAAACTTTTATGCAAAACATTGATTTTTATTTCGTTCAATTTATTTCAATAATTTCATATAAATTAGCAAATAATGATATAGCACATAACACATACATAAGCGATGAATTAACGAAATTTTAAAAGAAAATTTGCAAACAATCTTTGTCCCTTAAATGCGAAATACTTTTAAAGGAAAAAAGTAAAATGATGAGAGAGACAATGTAAGAGCACTTTGACTGCGTTAAAGTAAAGAAAGTATTTGTTATTAAAGCGATAAATTATTTTAATTTACTTAATCACAATTTTTAAACACTATTGGCTCGAATATCTACATAGTCAGAGAATTATAATGATTGATATGAATTTTACAATGCTTTCGATTACACAAATTTGGAATTTTGTAAAACAAAATATATTGTACCTTTGATATTGCATAAATTTATCAAATAAAACATATTTCGTAAGAAGTCAAGAGGTCAGCCGGCGAATGATAATACTTTCACTTACCGGGATGCACAGCTAAAGGCACATAAGTCGATCCCAATGCTACATTCCAACTGTGAGTACCTGGACAACTTTTCACTTCTAGGATATTCGCGTACTGCGGAAGAAGCTTCTTTAAATCCTGTCCCAATCTGAATTCAAACCCTGCTAAATCTGTATTGCCACCGGTAAGGAGAATTTGCGAAAGACAATCCTCTTTTATATCTTCTGGTAATCCGTTTGTTACTTCTTTAACTACTTCCGGCAAATCCATACTAACGTACATTAATTCTGGAGCTGTGTACAACTCCGATCCCAATGAAACTTTCTGCAAGGATATTAATGCTACATTAACATTGTATAATACAAGTGTAAAAATATAAAAATATAAATATCTACATCCGCCCGAACGGACGCACTCATAATCTTAGACGATACATATAAAATTGAATGTATATTAATTTATTACAAGTGGCAATTACCCAATCTTTTTTGCAATTTGCGTAAGTATCGACCCGAATATCTATATCTACTTTTTCAGCTTTATTCTGCCCACATTTATAAAGTCTATCGGACTTATTACTAAATTCTTCTTTCCTTATATCAAGACTTAGCCTACATCGCTCTTTTACGGTTGGATAATCCAAATAAGATATGGGAATCTCATGAAATTCCTTTGGTTGCCAATTCATAGCTTGTTTCAGATAATAAGCAACGTGCCAACCTCCTACGGGTATTAATCTCCAGTGCTGTGGTATCACTCTTCCATCTATCACAACCGCCACCGTTGTGCTCAAAGCACCACTGTCGACTACGATGCAAGTCTCTATACCTAGCATAGCACACGCTGCCAATGGCTTAGGAACTAAACAAACTCTGCAAAAATCATATCGATACATGGTCAAACAGTTTTACGGAACAATTGTATTTATGAAAAATTAATAGGAAATTTTCTATTTTTATAGATTGTGAATATACGTTATGAATTTTTTAATTCCAAACATTGTTATTAAACATTTTTATTTGAAACCTCGTTATTACATATAAATATGCATTAATGGGCTGCAAAATTAATTGGTAAAATAGAAAAACTAATTGCGGATAGTAATGAAGAGATAAGGCATATAGAAACTAAGTTTCTCTTACCTAGCTATTTTAATTTCTTGAAATAAATAATGCAAAAGCTGTTTCCTAAGTAATGGATGAATAGCCAAGGGTTCGCAAAACATAAGAACAGCATTTGGTTTTCTCAGAGTCTCTGTTAGACCCATTTGTCGAAATAGATGATCGACAAAATCTTTCAAAACTGAAAATGTTCCATCTATAAGCAGTGCTTCGGCTGGGTTAAACAAATCTATATTTGGTATACCCAACACTTGTTCCGTATCGGTGCAATAACCATTGATTAATTTTTGATAAATGGGATTACACCGCGTATAACACGATGCGTCGTTGGGATGCTGCTCCAATCTTCTCTTCTCTCTGTACAATTGTACCGAATTGCAAAAAACGCAAAAGGGTCCACTGCGCGGCGGAATCTTTGTTGATTCCGGTTCCAAAAGTTTCAATAACTTAACGATTGATTTTTTCGTTACAAATTTTCCTTCCGATTTTCTTCGACCGCTACTACTGGGAATGTTCTGCTGGGAAGGAGGAGGTACTTGTTCGACTTGAGTCTCACTATTGTATTTGGGAAAGCCAAGCATGGAGAAATGCCTTCTTAATCCAAAATTCGGTATGATTACCCATGTGTATTTGTTTCCTATTTCTATCACCACTTTCACGCTCGAACCTTCTACACAATTTCTTTGACAAGTGTAGCTACTGCAGTTACAGCATTTTGGAAAGGAGTTCTCGTTGCTCTCGTTTGCTAACGTTAAAATCATATGCAATCGATAACACATAGCTTTAAAACTGACGCTGAGCATTTGAAGACACTTCATGTCGGGAAATTGGAATTGTACCGTAGATATAAGTTGTAACCATTTCATTTTCCTAAAATAAATAAATCAATGATTAGCAAATTAAATAGAATCTTGAGATTCAATTTTTATCTTAAAATAATCTTCAATATTCTTTAATGATACACACTTGCGCAAAAATCGCACCTTTAACTATTGAAAATTATGAAAAGACCAGAGACAAAAAATATTAAAAAAAATTCTGATACAGTTTCATTGGTGCATCGTTATTATAATGTACCCTTCACACCAATCAAACAGGATGCAAAATCAATAAAACTTAATTATATCGTAGGTAATAAACATACACTTGGATTTATAATAAAAAATATTATAGTTACTCGTAATTTATAATCTATATTGACAGTTGAAAATTGTAATATATGTTTACACGTTTGCGTATAACGATGATTTTACAATTTTACAACTATTTTCCTTTATGAATATGCGATATGTAAAAGTTGAATTGTATTTAATACAATAAACTCAATACGTAAAGTTACACTAAGTGTATAAAATGATTATCGATAGCTAAACAATATTAAAAATTGATTTAGTAATAATATGAGATGTGGAAAAAGTGTAAGAAAAGCCTAAGAAGACACAGACGAAGTAGCGCAAGTATATAGTGAAAATTATCGATTACACGTACATTAAACTTATTCTAATACATTATGCTTGAAAATTTTAACCTCCAAGAAATCTCACCATAAGTAATCCGTGTCGGAGGTCTTACGTAGGTACTTGCAGGTGCTCCCAAAAGCTATGATATCAGGTACGTCACACTCAAGTAGAATCTTAATCCAGATTTCTTCGGGAAAGACTGCAGGATCCATTACGATAAATTGCACGTACGCACGTAAATCGAAATAATTTGTATATTAGAATAGAAAAAAAGGCGGCTGTGTGAAAAATCAAATGCCACCCTGCAGTCTATCCTCACGACGTCTCTTCTTGACACTCCCCGAAATCCACGAATACACTAGTCAGGTTCAAGGTTACTACGTTAAAAAACGTACAAACTGCGCGTGTAACTTACCGTCCGTCGGTTCTGTCGTTTCACTCTAATAATCCACTGTCCCAAATTATATTAATAGAATTCGTTTGTTAAAGCGCTGCACACTTTTAGCACAAAATGTAAATCCTTATTCGAAATAGTTGCGTAAGTAAAGGAGTGTTGGATAAGCGTCCTATAAGCCTATTCATTTCAATAACAATAAATATATATTTTGAATGTAAAATTCATTTTTTTTGCCAACTGCCAAAGTATGCAAATTATTTATCTGCTACAACAATAATTATAAATAGTAGATTATATTAATGCATTTATGCATATGCATATGTGTATATGTATATGCATACACGCATATGGGTGCGCGCGCGCGTTTGCGTGTGACTCGCGCGCGCGCAGACAGATTTATACAATCACTTATGCATATAAGTTTCATAAGTATTCATTCGACAAAATAATTATCGATATATTTATTTTAATTGAAAATTCAATATGTAAATGAAATTTAAATCAAAGGAATATTCGTTTTGGCTTTAGCTTTGATCTATCAATTTGTGATAGAAATTTTAAAGGAAATTTAATCTTTTATATTGAAAAAATTATTTATTGACAATATAAAAATAATAATCTCACTGGCACATTGTTCCTTATAATAATACTGAATGGTTTGCACGCTTAGAACGATTTTTAATATAATTATGACATTCCTAATAATGCTTTGATATAGGGATTATTATGAGCTAGAACTTCTTCCTTTAAATTTCTGACTCTGTTTATTAATTCTTCATCCGTGAAAGATTCATTAGAACCTGTGCATTTTTCCATGAAGTCTTTGATCATCTTTTCGCCGTCCTGTTAAATTATTTTCCACGTTAAATTTGAAATACATTGAAATCCTTTGAAATTATATTGAATCTACTACTTATTATTGACAATTATTAATACACTTACATTAATGATGTTCCTTTTCTTTTCCGGATTGTCCGATCCTTCGAATACAGCACCTTGTAGATCCTCTAATTCTGCTTGTTTTTGTTTGGCAAACTAAACATGTAAAATACATTTCATAGAATCAACGATGAACATATCTTTCATGTACTCTAAGATTAATGATGTTTACCTCGATCACATCATCGGGAAAATTAGCCATTCTAGCGACATGAATTCCAAAACTTTGATCACAAATTCCAGGTTTAACTTTGTACAACAGTACCAGTTTTTCGTCGACGAGTGCCGTAACATGAAAATTATTTACCGATGGCACATCTTCGGCCAATCGCGTAATTTCATGAAAATGCGTAGCGAACAGACAATATGACTTTACATTTTTTGCCAAGTGTCTGAAAAATAATGGAAAATTAAAATAATTTTTTAAACCCTACCCACTTACCTATTTACATATAAATTTTAATCATTTATTTATTTCAGAATTTGATAAGAATATCTTACTCCGCAATAGCCCATGCTATCCCACAACCATCGTATGTCGAAGTTCCTCGTCCAAGTTCATCAATTATAACTAGCGAATTAGAGGTTGCCGTCTGTAAGAATTTTCATGGATTTTCGCGATTTTCATTATCATAATGCTTGCTTTCATTTATAACGAATTACGTACGATTACTTTTCAAATTACTCACTCTCAAAATAGCGGATGTCTCGACCATCTCCGCCATAAAGGTGGAAAGTCCTCTTATTTGCGAATCGTCAGCGCCTATTCTCGCCAAAATAGAATCCAATATCGATATGGTGGCTCTTTCGCATGGTACAAAACTTCCAATGTGAGCCATTAATGCTGTTACTCCAATTGATCTGATGTAGGTACTTTTTCCACCCATGTTTGGTCCAGTGATAATGTGAAATCGACTGTCTATACAAAGTAGAAATTCAAATTTTACGTTATCTTAATTCAGACTTAATTGATTAAATTTCTGCTGAAATTGATGCATTCCCCCTCCCCATCTCACCGCAGCTTTATTATTAAACATATATATATATATATATTTATATCTATTAAAAAGTATTTTATGAATATAATTGCAATAAATTTCCAAAGTTTAGAGTATCAATCGTTTCAATTTCGCTAATGAATTCGTGGAAACGAGATGTCGATATTGATAATAATTTTATAGTCAGTCGACATTTCGCATTATTCGTACATACAAAAAAAGTCGAGCATCAATTTACCCAGCATTATTAAATAAATTTGATAAATAAATAAATAAAGTACCTTTTGTAAAATGAGCATCGTTGGCAATATAATTAACTCCATCTTGAATTTCTAAACACGGATGTCGAACTTTCACGAGACGAAGCTCTTGCGTTTCATTAGACAACATTTTTGGCCGGACGTACATCTCACTCGCACTTACTGCTACTTGTGCAAAAGAATTTAACACGTCGAGTGTTGCAATAATCCCACCAATGACCTTTATTGGAGGAACGTAGCCAGCTATAATTTATCATTTTCATCGATCAAATACATATTATTTATAATGGCAAATGTAAGAATTGATTTTTATCGTAAAAGTTTATCGCTGTATAGATCCTAGACAATAACGTGAGTCTTTAGATTTCTAAATTTCACTCCGATTTCTTGGATATAATGCATATTTACGCTAAAGTTTGTCTCAAAAAATTTTCCCAATAAAAGGCAAGAAAAATTTATAGAACTTTTAAGAAAATAACATCTTCCGTAAACTTAATTTAATCTTTTTTCCTTAAAAAGCAAAACAAAACAAAAAAAAAAACAAAAAAAAAACAAAAACAAAAACAAAAAAAAATAACTAAAACAAATGAAGAAATTAATTATTTACAAACCTGCCGTTTCTACAATTTCAGCGACAATGAGTTTTTGCTGACTGGTATACGAATTCTTTTTCGATAAATATTCGTCGTTGAGAATTTCCAAATTCTTATTCTTGAATCGGATGCCACCTTTTATTGAATTTACAACCGTATAAGATTTATTATTTCTAATATTCTTCTCTTCGTTCAATGTAATTCTAAAAAGATATCCAAGTCGGGGATTTAGTTCTAATTTAATAGACTTTCCCGACTCCATTCCCAAATCATTCGCTGCTTTATGCAAGACCTTTTGTATTTTATTCTCAATATCGTCCATTTCTGATTTAAGCACTATGGGGATAAATTCAAAGAAATTTCATAAGCATTGGATATAATTTTTTATAAAATCCAAAAATTGAATTGGAATGATAATTAAATTACTCGCTGCACACCTTTTAATTCATCGTCGAATTCTGCCTTCACCAAAAAGTCCCCTCTATCCGCAGAATCCAAGTCAATAGTTTGCTCGACCATCTGCTGAAATTTATCCATTTCTTCGATACTTTCTCTCAACGAGTCGAAAATCATGGCTTTCACAGCAGGTACATGAGCAAGTGCATTGAGCTTTTCAAGGAACAATGGCAAATACATCATGCATTGATAAATTCTAAACAAATATATCAATGAAATCAATTATAATGAAAATAATTGCACATTTAGCGCGCAGAGGAATATCTTAAAAAAAAAAATGTAATCAAGAGTGACGAGTTTTTAAGGGGTAGAGAATGTTTTGGATAAACGTTGTTGATAAATATTTGAGAAACTATTTGATTTTTCGAAACAATTTTTTACATCTATAATATGCATTATACGATAGATAATTAAAAAAGAAAAAAAGTGTAAAACCATGCGATATATCATAATCATTCATAATCTTTAGCATTAACTGTGGATGATCGATCGATAACCGAGTGTATCTTATCTATTCTACATTATGCTCCAAAAGTTTTTCCAAAACTAAACAACGAGACACGGACTCTGTTTAATACTCCATTCGGCTCTCTTTCATAGCATCATACAAGTTTCATAGCAAATGCAAATGCCTAACATAATACAATAATACATAATACAATGCACGTCGCATAATACAATCGACGGATTATATTGGCAAGGAGTAGCTACAGGAAGTAAATCGTAAAGATCATCGGAAAGATGACGGAGAGAAAGAGGACGAGCAGCTTCAAGTACCTGTAGCACTCCTGCAGGCCTGCCTTCTTGTTGCCGAGCTTCTTCGCAAGCTGATGGAGGTCGGGTATACGACCGAGGTAGTCCTCGCTGAGCGTGGAGCGCGTGTCCGTGTCCGCGACGAGGGCCTCGACGACCTCGTGACGTTCGTTGATGAGGGCGAGGTCGCGGAGCGGCTGCCTGATCCATTGGGCGAGCAGTCGTTTGCCAAGGGCCGTCTTGCATTTGTCTAGGAGCCCGAGGAGGCTCGAGTTGGCCGAGGCCCCGAGGCGCCCGGACGGCTCCAGATTCAGAGCCTTGATGGCCGCGGCATCGAGACGCAGGTACTGGTTGCGCGGGATCTCCTCGAGGGTGAACAGTCCGCCCTCGCCGGAGCTCGCCGTCAGCTGTCAAATGAAAGTTTATCCATTATCGTGAAATAACGAACGTAGAAGTTCTGGCGTTCTTATCAGATTTCATGCGTATTTCGAATTGTTTAAGAATAAGTTCGAATACTTGAATATAGGAACGACAAAGGATCCGAATAAACGGTTATTTTATCATGAAAGTATCTTTTTTCTTTTAATTTAAATCACATAATCCAACCAAAGTCTCGTTTTTATGATAAATAATCTCGTTGTACATATTTTGCCGAGATATGTCATTTATAAAATGCGAAAGCAAGCCATTTGCATAAGTGCATTGTGAGCATCTACAAAATGATCAAAGTGATAGGAAAAATCCGTATGATAGATACGTGAATGCAGGCGATCGGTAAAATTTGATTTCCGGTCAAAATTGAAATAAAGAATAAGGATGCGAGGAGTACTTACATTTAAGTAGCTTATAAGAGAGGCAGTCGCAGCCATTGCCCGCTTTAAATTAATTTCCGGAAGGGCTTGAGAATTACGCTGTTGGCCCTTATTGAATCTCAGCAGATTATTTAAATCTTGTACTAGGGAATCCGTGCTAAAATCGCGTTTCTTCTTTGGCGTTACCAAAACGTTATTTCGTTCCATAAGCTAAAGTTGGTGTGCATTGTAATTGCAAGGCAAATTAGTTTACGTCATTTTCATTGTTTACGATAAATGCTACTCATAATGAAACCTATAATACCTGTTTAACAATTTGAAAGTCGGTATTTCCTTCACCAACTTGTAATACGCACTCTTTTGGCTTTAATAATACAACGATCGTTTCGAGATTCATGAACGAATCGCCGTCTTCGAATTCAGATACTGAAATTATCGATTTAATCGAATCGATACAACTGACGCCAACGATCTGCAAAGTAATAATAATAATCATGATGATAAAAAAAAAATTTTTTTTTTTTAATCGGACAACAATCAAGGCAAAAGAACCTAAAGTTGAGATTTTAAAAACTGATATATAAGCAATTAATATTCGATAATCAAATTAATGAAACATTGACAGTGATTAGATTAACTTTGGCAATGGTAATTATTCTTGAAAACAAATAAAAGAAAACATTGAAACCTCAGAGAATGAGCATTAGAGTTATTGTATGTACCTTGGATGTGCCCTCGGATCCGACTTTCACGGCCAAAATGGCAGACTCGACGGCAACGTCGTTATTGTTAAAAAGGACCTCTTCGAATTGAGCGAGATTACCCGGCGATCCTTTATATTCAACGTTCCAATCCTGATTCTTGGCCGAGCCGTTATTCACGTAAACCTCAACGCGATACTGCTTCACAAGTAATAAGTCACGTATGAAGGTCTCAAAATGATTTTTATTTAGGATTACGCCGTCAATTTTGTTGTGCTCTGCGTGAATAAAAATAGTACAGCAATTATAAATTTATTCGCTGTCCATTATTTTTCTTAAAATAGATCAGGATGCGACAAGATGCACTTTTCTTTTATGAGATTGTGAATTTTGCATTTTTACTTCAACAATAGAGGGTGAAAACATTTGGATAAAAGTGCCATTCGATGTAAACAAAATTTAAAGACATTACGCACCACCCTGAAAGCACCTTTTTAATGAAACTTATTAGAATTATGACAATTTTAACATTATATATGTTTTTCATTTAAGAAATAAGCAATTATTAAATGTGAATGATTAAATATGTGGTTATGGTTAAAAGGAATCAAACAAGGCAATAAAACAAATAAGCACTCCGATGTGCAATGAGAGGCGATTATGAATAATATGTAACTAAAATAACATTAAAACACCAAATATTTTCATTAAATCGATAAATATTGCGATTCTTTTTATCGTAAAATTTTTTTACACCCATACAATAATGTCTATAATAATGTCAGGCAGGGAATAATATTGATATTAAACACATATGACAATTGAAAAATAACATGCTATTTTCATAATAAGTTGAAACAACTTTCAGTTTAAAATACGTTTTAAGCGGAAATATAATTAAAAGCAAACTTTTTTAAAAAATCACATATTCTTTTGATGACGTATGCAAACTATAACAAGAAATTTTCATGAACTCATCGACTCAATTTTATAAGTGACTTTATAAATTTATGTACATCCGAAAATTATTATTTTCAACTTAATTCTAGTGATCGTTTTGACTTTTAAAAACAATGATCTTCAACGATTTATTAACAACAATATTTAATCTAATATAATGTACTTAGAAATGTTTGCTTTTACTAAGATTTGCGCATTTAAAATACATCGTTCGTTAACCATTTAAATGCTAAAACATTCGTAATTAGTTAAATAATTATAACTGATTGTAATGAATGAATGGACGAACGAATTTTCATTCTCATTATATTATACTCGAATCAACACTTGCTTCTAAGAAAAGATATTTTTAAGAACATTTATATTTTAAAGTAAATCATTCAATGAGCGTTGAAATTTGATGTCAATTAAACACAGTGAATAATATAATAGTTAATTGAATTATCTAATAGAAATAAAAATAAGATTCATCTTTTAACCTGGTCCAATTTTCTTGCAAACCGAGGTTGTTTTAAAAATTTCCTTAGCAGCGAATAGAGCATCGTTTCCATGTAATGTGTAGTAATCCGAGCGGTCAAAGATTCTTATGGTGCTATTTGGTTTCTGGAACATAAAAGAAGATGAGAACATATTAAGTGATAAGTGTGTTTATACTGGCAGAGTATAATAGAAACGTATTATCGTATGAGCAATCATGCATCAAACGTATGAGAGATATCGTAAAAATATGTGCTTGTCTGCGCGCGTATAATTGAATTATAAATCATATACTATAGTATTATAAATTATACATAGAACAATTACTAATTTTCTAAAAGCATTATGTTTTTAATATTATAATCATGATTGATTTGCAATAGCCATCAGAATACAATTTTATGAATCATATTTATATCTTGAACATTAAATAATGTTTTAATTTTAATGCAATTTATATATATTTATATAATATAATTGGAATATAAACATTATTATTGATAGGCGCAATACAGATAGCACAATAAAAATAGGTCAATGCAAACTTCATTTGGTTACAGTTATTATTATTTTATAACAGTAAAGTCTGCTTCGACATATAATTAATAATTAATTCATGAACAATGAGCAATACATACAGAGTAAAATGCTTTATTAAGTTTTTTATTTGTATTAATGGAATAAAATAATACAATTGTGCCTTGTATTTTTATCAATGGCTGATAATTCATTTTCTAAAGATTTATTGCATCATTAGTAGTTTCATATATTACGTGAAATATTCATATATTCGTATATTCCTGAAAAATTCATATATTCCCTCATCGGGAATTTACGAAGCCCCCCTTCCCCCCTCCTCCCAATATACTATTTAGATGCCCTCATTTGTGCATTATTCGTAACTACTTGTTTTCCCTAACATTTTTCTTCGCTTTTTTTTTTTTTTAAATAAACCGTGAAAGTATCGCACTTTCTTTAAAATTCTTATAAATAAATTTTGTAAGTTATTAAATATAAATGGTGTTGTAATCTCTTTAATATAAACTTTCGTTTAATCATGACGATACATTGTTTTGACATTTGATAGATAGATGTATTCATAATAAATATTGATTTTTAAAAAGTGATCGGACATTCTTTCAAAAAGGTTAAAGAATATAGTAGTGAAAATGACTCAAGATTTTGAAATGTGACGAATATCGTAGACATCCAAATTGTTTATAAATTATTAATAAAATAAGTAATGTCGATAAGATATATCGATTAAAAATACTTTTTCGTTATGGTTAATGCATATCAACAATTGCCTTTGAATAATACATTTTACGTTCAATTATCACATGCGTATAAAGATAATACAAATATTTGCGAATGAAACAAGCGAGAATATCCTTATGTTATTCGGCTTTTTATAAAAACAAATTGCTTCTTAGCATATTATGGAATTACTCGAGTTATTCAAATCCTCCCTAAAGCTTGTCTCTTCCAACGAGCAGACAAGTTAATTTTCTAACTGTCCCTTTCTCTTATCAGCTTTGTATAGGATTAACAAAAGTATATAACAACGTTAAAATAGTAGTAATTATTATTATATAACTAATATAGAAGCACAAATCATACCTTAAGTATAAACAGATAAAGTAGCAGATAGAAAACACAGTTGTTTTTAACGAGATTACACATTCAATCATTATAGTGTCTGTAATAAGGTACTTTGAAGAAGAAGAAGAAGAAGAAGAAGAAGAAAATTAAATATATTTTTCAATTTTTTAAATGTTTGTTTTTGTTTTATATAATTATTCAGTAATTGTTCTTTATTAAAAATTTCCTAATCGACGAATAATATTCTCTCTCATATTTAATAATCAATTGTGCGCATTACAGCATTAAATATATTTGAAATCATCTTAATAAAAACTTAAGGAGATTATTTTATGATATCTTCAATTCGTAGACAAAATATATATATATGCCTCCTTGTTTGTTGAAATTGCATCATACTTAGCTTAAATTTGATATAAAATTAAAGGGATTTAATTTTCATAAAGTCTTTGGATATTATTATTATAAGCTCATTAAAAATATAAATTGATTCTATTCTATTTTGTAAAATAATAAATAAAGTTATATATTGAAAATTTTATTAGGTCAGTGTTTAATAATAATATATCATAACATAATTTATACATTGTATCTATCGAGTTATACTAATTATTATTGTATATAAAAGTTTCGATACAATTTATTGAAATTAATCGTTATTTTACCATTCATTCTTTATTATTGTTAGGCAATAGATCATTATATCCCTGACGTTTTATGAAAATTATTTTACTGTACCTTCCAGGTGAAAATAAAAGTCACTGATATGTAATTAACATTTTTATTGGTTCGTTGTGAACGAAATTTTTTTTTTTTTTTTTTTTTTTTTTTTTAAAAAAAA